ACACAGAGAGACCCTGTCTTGAAAAACAAACTAACAAACAGAAGAATACTAGTCTAATCCTCAAGAAAATCAGTATAATAGCATTTGTATAGGGACAGCTAGTTACCAGCTTTTTGTCTCCTGCTTGGATTATTGAGCTAGGGACTGCCAATGGTGATACCACTAACCTAAATCTCCAGCCCTTAGTTGAGAATAAGTGTAATAAAATGCTAAGAATTAATCAGTTGGGAAGCTCACCACGCTGCCACCCCAGAGCACAGACACTCCAGGAAACAGAGACAACACTGCGGCCCAGTACCCCCTGGGTACTCTGAGACATGAGCGAGTAGGTGTTGGAGTGATGGGAGAGAAAGAAGCAAGCAAATAGGCGGTGGAGAAATGGAGGACGAGCTGTTTGTGTGCTATGAAGTGAGGCAGAACTGGAGACGTGAAGGCAGTTGCTGTTCTTGCTCCTTGAGAAAGGTGAATTACACTGCCCATCAATTGAGCCAGCAACAAACACAAATGCCAGTAAGCCTATGCCTGCTTCCCTTGAGAAAACTGACCACTGTATGAGTCACTGTGAGTCCCAGAGCTGCATCCTAGCCCAGGAGGAAGAGCAGTACCTGCAGAATGAAGACCTACAACTGACTGGACATGTCCTGCTGTGTTTACTTCTCATCATTGGCCTATCTGATCATCTCTATGGCTGTGGTGGCAGTTCAACCTTGAGACTGGACGACTCTATATTGAACTACAGTTTTACCATGCTGTGTCTAACCTTGGCCGGAGACTTATTTCCTTTGGAAGCTTTGGGTTGGACAAACACTTGAAGACACCCAGAGGCCCCACCCACTACAATGCAGGGTGGGCAGGAAGATAACACCTAGAGACCCCACCCAACGTGTGGTCCACCTGCAGCACAACCACTATGATGTGCAAGTATGGGGCAGAGAGATGGGAGAGAAAGAGAAGAAGTGTTTGAGTACTATGAAGAGAGACGGATCTGAAGATGCAAGGTGGAGAGGAACAGCCTAATGTGAGGACCCTTCGAAGCCACTTGAGACCATGGTGAAGTCCTAGCCCATGCTTCTGCTGAGGGCCATGTCTGGGTCCATGGCCATGCAGCAGCAGGGGTCTGTGTTGATGTCCAAGACCCATGTTACCAACAAAGGCTTTGTGAATGTCTCCGGTCTGTACTGCTGCCTGGGACCATGTCGATATCCAAGAGCTGCATAGAGTTGGTCCTGCCCCTCACTGGAGAGCATGCCTTGCACCTCACCTGGGCAACATAGTAGAGCAGACCCTGTTGGCAGGGACAGGGGTGAACCAGCCCTGCCCCTTGCTGCCTGCAGCATTGGATAAGCTAGTCAGGGCAATGCTGGAGAGTTCTCTCTGTTGGTGAGGATGAGGAAGAGCTGCCAACCCAGCTATCACCTGGGCCCAGAAGCAGGGATATGAGTTGGCCCACCCCAACACTCACCTCCATCTGTGATCTGCTGGAGCACGTGAAGGGGCCCAGCCTCCAGATCCAGAGCTGCAGGATCTCCATGACACAGGGCAACAACAAGGAATCCAAGAAGCGTCCCAGTGAGGGCCCAGCATTCATAGTGTAGCAGAAGCCAGAGGCCTCAAGCCAGACCATGACTCATTGCAATGAACACTTGCAAGTAAAGATGTATGGACTAAAGGGTTTGCTGTGTAACTCACTATGACACACTACAGCTTCCATGACAAGATCTTTTTTTTTTAATTTTATTTTATTTTATTTTGGTGGGGAATTGGCAAGGGCAAAAGGCGAATATGAAGGGACGGGGAGGTGAATAGGATTGGGATGCATAATATGAAATCACAAAAAGTCAATAAAAATAAAAAATAAAAAAGAATTAATCAGGGTCTAAGCATGATGGTTCACATATTTAATTCCAGCAGTGGGGAGGTACAGATAGGCAGAACTCTGTGATTTCAAGGTCAGCTTGGTCTGCATAGTGAGTAGTACTAAGCCAGTCAAAGCTAGATCATGAGACCTTTCTCAAAACAAAACAACGGGGTTAGGGATTTAGCTCAGTGGTAGAGCACTTGCCTAGCAAGCACAAGGCCCTGGGTTTGGTCCTCTGCTCCGGAAAAACAAAAAAACAAAAAACAAACAAACAAAACAATTGATCAATCCAGGTAGAGAGCATATAGGTTATTTTTTTTAATATTTATTGCTTCTATTTATGTGCATGTATGTGTATGGGGGGGGGGGATGCCAATGTTTGTGGTTGTCCTTAGAGGCCAGAAGAGGGCATCAGATCCCCTGCAGCCGGAGTTATAGGCAGCTGTGAACCACTGGACCTAAGTCCTGGGAACCTAACACTGCTCCTGGAACAGCGGCAAATGCTCTTTATTGCTGAGCCGTCTCTAGCCCTGGGGTTTGGTTTTTAGACGAAGTTTTATTATGTAGCCCAGTGTTGGGGAATGTTATTTTAAGATGTGTTACTTTTGCTTATGCTGCATTTGTTTAACTCTGTGAAGCTGTGTTACTTTGCCTGTGTAAAACACCTGATGGTCTAATAAAGAGCTGAATGGCCAATAGCAAGGCGGGAGAAAGGATAGGTGGGGCTGGCAGGCAGAGAGAATAAACAGAAGGAGAAATCTGGGGGGAGGGAGCTAGCCGCCAGAGAAGGAGGTGGACTCCAGAGGCCAGCAACCCAGCTACACAACCAGCCACGGAATAAGAGTAAGATTTGCAGAAGTAAGAGAACAGGAAAAGCCCAGAGGCAAAGGTACACGGGATAATTTAAGTTAAGGAAAGCTGGCTAGAAACTAAGCCAGTCTAAGGCTGGGCATTCTTTTTTTTTTTTTTTCAGAGCTGAAGACCAAACCCAGGGCCTTGCACTTGCTAGGCAAGCGCTCTACCACTGAGCTAAATCCCCAACCCCAGGGCATTCTTAATTAAGAATAAGCTTCCATGTGTGATTTACTTGGGAGCTGGGTGGCAGGCCCCCCAAAAAGAGTAAGAAAAACCAACAACAGCCCAGGGGTGGCCTTGAACTCCAGAATCTCCTATCTCAGTCTCCTGGATGCCAGGATTACAATTGTGCACTACCAGGCCCAGCTTATATGTCTTTATTGTACTAAAAAACAAAACCCCATGAACCTTTCTGTATGTCTGATGTTTTGAAAAAGCTTAACTCTTTTACATTTATTTGTGTGGGTGTGAGTGTGTGGGTATATGAAGGCCAGAGGACAATTTGCAGGAGTTTGTTCATTCCATGTGGTTCCATGTAGACCATGTAGGTTCCAAGGATTGAGCTCAGGTCATCAGGCCAGGTGGCAATTGCCTTTACTGAACCATCTTATGAGTACCTGAGAAATTTTTAAGTTATTCTTGGGGCTGGAGAGATAATGTTTAAGAGCTCTGGCTATTCTTGCAGAGGACCAAGGTTCAATTCCCAGAACCCATGTGGTAGGTACCTCACAACTGTCTGTAACTCTAGCTCCTGGCAATTCAGCACCTTCTTCAGGCCCCTGTGGGCACCGCACACATGTGGTACGTATACATATATTCAGTCAAAAGCCCATACACATAAATGGAAATGAATTTTTTGTTTGCTTGAGATGATGACTCTGTGTAGCCCTGGCTAGCCTGGAAGTCACTCTGCAAACTAGGTTGGCCTTAAACTCAGAGAGATCTGTCTGCGTCTGCCTCCCAAGTGCTAGGATTAGTTAAAGGTGTGTGCTACCATACCCAGCTAAAAATAAATCTTTAAAAAAGAAAGAAAAAAGTCCCTGAGTACCGTGAGGCCAGCCTCTCTGTTGTGAATCTAGTTCTCACAGCATTGCTAAGGAAACATGGAGATGATCCACGATCTCTTTATATGCATATGGAAGTCTCAGAAACCAATGCCATTTCTTTGGGAAATCTGTTATATTTCAAGGAGTGTGCATGCTTAAGCAACCCTATTTGGGTGTTTTTGTTTGTTTTTCTGCTTAGCTGGGTTTTCTTATGCAAACATTAATAGAGTTTTATAGAAGAATCATAACAAAGTGCTCCTTCTGACTTCATTGACACCAGCAGGCTCCAAAGCTACACAGAGAACCCCTGTCTTGAAAAACCAAGGAGGAAAAAAAAAAAAAAGACTGTTTCCTAGAATGTGCTGAAATAAGACTTTGGTTAGCCCTTTGGGGTTTTTGATTGGGTTTTTTTTTTGTTTGTTTTTGTGGTTTTTCCAGACAGGGTTTCTCTGTGTAGCCCTGGCTTCTAAGATTAGAGGGATGTACCACCACTGCCCAGCTTGAAACAGTTATTTGTTTGTTTATTTTTTGTTTCCTGAGACAAAGTTTCTATGGAGCTTTGGCTATACTGGAACTCACTCTGTAGACCAGGCTGGCCTCGAACTCAGAGAGATCCACCTGAATGCAGGGATTAAAGGTGTGCACCACCACCGCCTGGCTGAGCACATTTAAAAAAAAATTTTTTTTATGTGTGTGCTTGTCTGCATGTACACTCTGTGTGTACAGGTGTCCACAGAGGCCTGCACAGGGTGTCAAAAACCCCAGAAACTAGCGTTATAGGCAGCTGTAAGTAACTGTGATGCTGAGGACTGAACCTGGGTTCTCTACAAGTGCAGCAAGTGCTCTTTACCTCTGAGCCATCTCTCCAGACCCCCAAATTCCATTTTTGAATAATAGGAACGTTAGGCATTTCTCCAATATGCCTGAAATTATTGGCAGCTTGAGCTGGGGACAGGGTCCCAACTTCAGCATATCTGGGATGACTGGAGAACCCTTAGTTAGGGGCTAATGCTCACTTCAGTAGCAGTTCCTAGTTGTTGGATTCTAGTGTTGTTTCTGTTTTATCACGATTATGAAAAATCTCTGGGGCAAGTCCTGGGGGGACATTGTAGGCCTCTTTGGAATTCTGTGAGGCTGTCTAGCACCGACTCCAGGCTTCTTGCTGCTGCTGCTGCTGCTGCAGTGGTCACCCCCAGCCACAGCCAAGGATGTGCTCATGTGCGGCTTCTTGTTGGTTGCAGCAATAGGAAATGCCTTTGCAGTCCTGAGCAATCCTGACAAGAGACTCCGCTATGATGAGTATGGAGATGAGCAGGTGACTTTCACCGCACCTCGAGCCAGATCTTACCATTATTACAGGGATTTTGAAGCTGACATCTCTCCAGAAGAACTATTCAATGTGTTCTTTGGAGGACATTTTCCTTCAGGTTGGTATCTTTTTGTTTTTTTTTTTTTAAGTTTTGCCTGTATGTATGTCTGTGTACCTTATGTCAGTTAGATACATGACTTTAATCCCAGCACTCGGGAGGCAGAGGCAGGCAGATCTCTGTGAGTTTGAGGCCAGCCTGGTCTACAGAGCGAGATCCAGGACAGCCAGGACTACATAGAGAAATCCTGTCTTGAAAAAACAAAAAACAAAATGAACAAACAAAAACCCACTACCGGCCGGGCGGTGGTGGCGCACGCCTTTAATCCCAGCACTCGGGAGGCAGAGCCAGGCGGATCTCTGTGAGTTCGAGGCCGGCCTGGGCTACCAAGTGAGTCCCAGGAAAGGCGCAAAGCTACACAGAGAAACCCTGTCTCGGAAAACCAAAAAAAAAAAAAAAAACCCACTACCACCACCAACAACAACAAAAAGAAACCCAAAAAGGGTAGCTGGAGTTCAGTGGCTAAGGGTACTGGCTGCTCTTTCAGACGACCCAGGCTTGAGTCCCAGTACTCACATGGTGACTCACAAACATCTGTGACTCCAGTTCCAAGGGATTGACCTCTGCAGGCATGCATGTGGCACACATACATACATACAGACATGTAGATTAAAAACACTCAAGTCCTTTTGGGGGGAGTGGGAGGAGGGGAAACTGTGGTTGGTATGTAAAATAAATGAAAAAAAAGTTAATAAAATTTAAAAAAAACACTCAAGCTCATAAATAAATCTTTTATTTATTTATTTTTTTTAAGACAAGGTCTCTCTGTGTAAGCCTGGTTGTCCTGGAAAGCTCTGTAGATCAGTCTGGCCTCAGACTCAGAGCTCTGCCTGCCTCTGCCTTGAGTGCTGGGATTAAAGGTCTGTGTAACCACACCCAGCAACATAAAATAAATCTCTAAGTGAAGAAACAAAAATACATAAATTTGGGATTTGGAGAGATGACTTAGCAATTACAAACACTTGTCCATATGGAGGACCTGGGTTCAATTTCCAACAGACACAGCAGCTCACTACCATCTGTAACTCCATTTCCAGGTGGATCCTGGTGATGCCTTCTTCTGGCCTCCATGGGCACTATGTGCATATAGTACACAGACTTGCAAGCAGGCAAAACACCCTGTCTTAGTCAGTGTTCTATTGCTGTGAAGAGACATCATGACCAAGGCAGCTCTTATAAAGGAAAATGTTTAATTAGGGGGCTTGCTAATAGTTTCAGAGGATTAGTCTATTATTATCATAATGGGAAGCGGACAGGCACGGTAACGGAGCAGTAGCTGAGAGCTTTACATCTTGATCTATACACAGCAGTCAGAGAGAGAGAAACTGAGCCAGGTGTGGGCTTTTGAAACCTCAAATCCCTCAAATCCACTGACAATCTCCTCCAACAAGACCACAACTACTTAAACAAGGCCACACCTCCTAATCCTTCCCCAAATAGTTCCACTAACTGAGGACTAAACATTCAAATGTATAAACCTGTGGGATCCATTCTCATTCAAACACCACATGCTCATATACATAAAAGGAAATCTTTTTAAAAAATCACAATGAAACCCATTCTCTTTACCATCAATATGTGTAACAAAATAGAGATCCAGAAAGTATATCACAGACAGTTAGCAGTTGAGAAAATTCAGTGCCAAGAAAGGAAGTGGAATTTTTTGTGTTGCTAGGGATGCAACTGGAGCCTCCAGCGTGCTAGGCATGTATCCCATGCTAAGCTACACCCCAGCTACAAATTTGTTTTGTTTTTCAAGACAGGGTTTCTCTGTGTAACAGCCCTGGCTGTCCTGGAACTCACTCTGTAGCCCAGGCTGACCTTGTGCTCACAGAGATCCGCCTGCCTCTGCCTCCCGAGTGCTGGGATTAAAGGCGTGCGCCACCACTGCCCAGCAATAAAGTGAGTTTTATGAGTGGCTATTAAAGATGCTAGTGACTGGGCCAGAGAGATGGCTCAGCACTTAAGAGCACTGACTACTCTCCCAGAGGACCCAGGTTCAATTCCCTACACCCACATAGCAGCTAACAACTGTAACTCCCAAGATCTAACACCCTCATACAGACATGCATGCAGGCAAAACACCAATGCACATAATTTAAAAATAAATAAATTTAATTAAAAAAGATGTTAGTGACTAATACTGGACACAGAAGCAGACATAACTATGTCAGATAGGACTTACGGTCAAAATGCTATCTTCTCGCCTTTTGCAGTTTTCTCCCACAAACGTGCAAAGTCCATGAAGTCAGGAGAGCCTTGCACATGTGTGCCTGGCTGGCCCCCCGGCTCACCTATTGCCTTCTTTTTTGCTGGGTCAGATAAACAGATGCCTGTCTTTAGCCTCCTTGGGAACAAGACTTTGAAAAGGGCCAAAAAGGAATTGCCATCTCATAAACGTTCTCTCTCTCTCCCTCTCTTCCTTTTTCCTTCCCTCTCTAATGTCTGTTTTCCAGGAAATATTCACATGTTCTCAAATGTGACAGATGACAGTCACTATTTTCGCAGGCGACACCGCCATGAGAGGACACAGACACACAAGAGAGAGGAAGAAGATAAAACTCAGGTGCGTGTGCAGCCGAGGTCATGCACATGGGCATACTGAGCCTGCTCCTATGGTATATAATCAGCCCTAGAAGTGCAGTTGAGCTATGTTTGTAAAAATGTACTTTCAGGGGCTGGAAAGGTGGCTCAGTGGTTAAGAACACTGGCTGTTCTTCCAGAGGTCCTGAGTTCAAATCCCAGCAACCACATGGTGGCTCACAACCATCTATAATAAGATTTGATGACCTCTTTCAGCACACAGGCGTACATGCAGAGCACTCATACATAAAATATAAATAAATTAAATTTAAAAAAAAAGAAAAAAATGTACTTTCAGCAATGGTAAGAGCTGGATAAGTGGCCCAGAGGGTCCAAATGTTGGTAATCCTCCATCCTCCATCCCTGATCCTTTTTTGTGTTTTCATAGGATCCTAGTTTCTCTGTAAGGATCTTCTTCCTTCCTTCCTTCCTTCCTTCCTTCCTTCCTTCCTTCCTTCCTTCCTTCCTTTCTTTCTCTCTCTCTTTCTCTCTTTCTTTTTTAAGTTTTTTTGTTTTGTTTTGTATTGTATAGCATGAATCTTAAAGGTCCTTATTAATAAAAACAAACCTGGAGCAAGGTATTGGGGTGAATGCTGGAAGATCAGAGAAGCAGAATAAGCCACAGCTACCTCACCTTGCCAGTTCCTTAGCTGATCCTGTTTCCTCAGACTGGAAGCCTCTGAGTCCTTATCCAAATGGATCTCAGCTGAACTGCTGCTCAAAAGCCTAAAAGCTTAACCAGGCTCTAGTTCCTTGTCCTCATGCCTTAAATACCTTTCTGCTTCCTGCCATCACTTCCTGGGATTAAAGGCTCTTGTTACCATGCCTGGTTGTTTCCAGTGTGGCCTTGAACTCACAGAGATCCAGGCGGATCTCTGCCTCTGAAATGCTAGGATTAAAGGCATGTGCTACCACTGCCTAACCTCTATGTTTAATATTGTGGCTGTTCTGTTCTCTGACCCCAGATAAGTTTATTAGGGTGCACAATATTTTGGGGAACACAATATCACCACAGTTTTGTTTTTGAGACAGGTTCTCTCTGTGTAGCCCTGGCTGTCCTGGAGCTCACTCTGTAGACCAGGCTGGCCTCAAACTCACAGAGATCTGCCTGCCTCTACCTCCCAAGTGCTGGGACTAAAGTCATGTGCCACCATGTCCAGCTTGTGGGGCTGCCTTGATCGAACTTTTCTTTATTGCAGAAAATAAGAATCCCTTTCAAAATATTCAGAACTAAAAAAGGGTGTTAAGTAAGAAACCAGGAGAGGGGGCTGGAGAGATGGCTCAGAGGTTAAGAGCACTGACTGCTCTTTCAGAGGCCCTGAGTTCAATTCCCACCAACCACACGGTGGCTCACAGCCATCTACAGTGAGATCTGGCGCCCTCTTCTGGCCTGCAGGCAGCACAATGCAGGCAGAACACTGTATACATAAAAAACACATAAACGTTAAAGTTGAAAAAAAAAAAAAGAAAGAAAGAAAAAGAAAAAAAAAAAGAGAAAAGAAACCGGGAGAGGCTCATGGAAGCTCAAAAGGCAACAGCATCTCTGGGATGGATCCAGGTTTTCAGGCTTGGTGGCACTTTGACTTCTGAGCTATCGAAGTGGCCTATTCAAAAACAACAAATACTGTGCCTCTGGCTGGTTCGCAGCCCTGAGAGAATGCCTTTTCTCCAAACAGTAGTTAGTAAAGAAGTGTGATGAGCCTCGACCCCACATGGTCCAGGGAGAATGCGGTCGTCTCTGATACAGTTCGATGTCATCAGTTTTGGACAGCTGTGGCAGAGTAAGAGCTGCTTCACACCAGCCACTGCTGGAGCCCCATCCATGTTGGCAGAATTAGAGACACAAGGGGCAGCGGGTCATCGACAGTCCAGGTTGGAGGGGCCTCCTTTACCCTCTCAGCAGAGAGATGAGTTGTTTGGTTTTGAGCCGCTTTCCAGCCTTTTTGGCAAACCTTTGGCTTTGTGGGTGTTCCTGTACCGTGCGTCAATAGTCTGCATTTCCTCTGGGATGTCTGTATTCTCAGACACTTCATTTTTTCTTTTACAGACTCCATATTCCGCATTTGTTCAGCTGCTTCCAGTTCTGGTGATTGTGCTTATTTCTGTCATTACTCAGCTGCTGGCTGCTAACCCCCCATATAGTCTATTCTATAAATCGTAAGTTGAAAATTCCAATTTTTCCTTAGTATCAGTCTGAAAGATGAAAGACTTGGCCAGGTGGTGGTGGTGGTGGTGAACACCTTTAATCCCAGCACTTGGGAAACAGAGGCAGGCGGATCTCTGTCAGTTTGAGGCCAACCTGGTCTACAGAGCAAGATCCAGGACAGCCAGGGCTACACAGAGAAACCCTGTCTTGGGGAAAAAAAAAAATTGAAAAAAAAAAGGAAAAGAAAAAGAAAAAGATGAAAGACTTAAGGTTTTGCTGATTCATGCTGACACTTCATTTCACCTTCCACTGTGGAAAATGCTGACCTTATGCTTCAAGGAATAGCCATTCAAAGTTTCTCTAGTGTTTTCTGTGGAGGTACTAAGTTTAGGTGCTTGAAAACACCTACACTAAACCAAAAGGAGCAGCCAAGCAGTAATAATGTAGACTAAGTGGGTGGCAGCTGCCTGTGCCTAAGGAGTGGTGGTGTTTTGTTACATAGTGACAGCCTCTGGTCAACGGAAAAACAGTCAGGATTGGTTCAGAAGGACCACAGAATGGTTTGAGGATCCTAATAAATCTCTCTCACCGAGGTGAGGTTAGGAAGAACTTCAGGGAAGGCAGGGATGGTGACTCAACCCAGCATGGAGGCAGGGACAAAGGACTGCTTGATTCCAGGCCAGCCCGAGCTACAGTGAGAAAGAGGGACAGGGAAGAGAAGGGAGATGGGCGGGGACAGAGAGAGAAGAGGAGGAAGAAGGGAGGGAGAGAGGGCAGGTTGTGATGAATGTGTTGTGATGACAGATAGTGACTGGAACCTAGTGATTTTTTCCAGTTTTTTTAATTGAAAGGAGAGTGGAGAGATGGTTCAGAGGTAAAGAGCACTAGCTGCTCTTGCAGCAGACCCAGGTTTAATTCCCAGCACTCACATGGTGGGTCACAACCATCCATAATTCCAGTTTCAGGGGATCTGATGCCCTCTTCTGGCCTCTGTGGTCACCACGCATGCAAATGGTTCACAGACATTCAAGCAGGCAAAATGCTCATACACATAAAATTAAGATTAATGAAAATTACAAGGAGGGGTGGCACATGCCTTTAATCCCAGCACTTGGAGATAGGGGGTCTCTGAGTTCAGGGCCAGCATGGTCTACAGAGTAAATTCTAGGACAGCCAGAGCTGTTAGGCAGAGAAACTCTGTCTTGAAGAAAAAAAATTACAAGAAGGGACATTAGTTATTAATAAGGACATAGAGTCAAACTATGCTATTGTGTTTCTTTGCTTTTGCTGAGAACAAAATTTATTATAATTCTTGTTGAGGCATGTAGATTATATATAAATACAGATTAGGAATCTTTCTTAATTTTTCTACTTAAGTGTTTTCAGTTGCTCTGGTCAAAGTTTGGTCCCTAAGTAAGCATCAAGAGCATCAGCTGGCGACACATTTAGACCTGTTAGAGAGTAAACTTGAAGCTGCATGTGGTGCACACTCCTTTAATCTCAGCACCTGGGAGGCAGAAGTGGTGGAGCGCTATAAATTCCAGGTCAGCCTGGGCTACATAGTGAGTTCCAAGACCAAAAGAAAGAAAGAAAGAAAGGAAAGAAAGGAAAGAAAGAAAGGAAGAAAGAAAGAAAGAAAGAAAGAAAGAAAGAAAGAAAGAAAGAAAGAAAGAAAGAAAGAAAGAAAGAAAGAGAGAGAGAGAAGTAAACTTCAGGTTTTTGTTTGTTTGTTTTTTGTTTTTGTTTTTGTTTTTCTTTTCTTTTTTTTTTTTTTTGAGAATCTCTCACTGTGTAGTCCAGCTGGTCTCAGATTCACAGCAGTCTTCCTGCCTCAGCCTCCCAAAGCGGAGATTAAAGTTGTGTGACCACGCCTGGTTTTAGGTTTTTTTCCTTTGGTTTAGTTTACTCTGTTTCTTTGGGGCGTCCATCTTGCTATATAGCTCAGGCTGGTCTCGTATGTTTGGTTCTCTTGCTTCCAGCTTCTGAGTGCTTCGACTACAAGATGTGTCCTAAGATAATTAACGCTCTTGCTGTTTGCATACGTGGATGGTGATCTTTTATGGGACTTCTCCAGGACCCTAACATGTAGTACCAGATCGAAGTGCTAGGACAACATGTGTATACCACTGTATCTGGCTTTTGTTTTTTTAAGTATCCAGGAACTCTTTTGTTTGTTTGTTTGTTTGTTTGTTTGTTTTGTATGTATAGGTGAATGTGAGGCCAGCAAGATGGCTCAGCACATAAAAGTATTTGCTGCCAAGCCTGAGTTTGATGCCCAGGACCCACATTTTAAAAAGAGAGAATGGAGTCTCTCAAGTTGTCCTCTGGCTTTCACATGTGTGCTGGGGTCTGTGCACACCTGCACTCACATACGTACAAAACAAATAAATAAGGCTGGGCCTGGTGGCACATGCTTTTAGTCCCAGCACTCGGGAGGCAGAGGTAGGCCTATCTCTATGTGTTCAAGGCCAGCCTGGTCTACAGAGCAAGTTCCAGGTCAGCCAGAGCTGCAAAGTGAGACCATGTCTCAAAAAACAAAAGCAAAAACAAAAACAAATGTGTGTGGGGTGTGCTAGTGCATGTGTGGTCAGAGGACAGCTTTTGGGAGTTAGTTTATGCCTTCCCCCTTACTAAGGCAGAGGTCTCTTGTTTCTGCCACTGTGTTTCATATTCCAGGTTAGCTGGGCTATGTGCTTCCAGCCAACCCTCGTCTCCTTCCCACCTTGCTGGAGAAGTGCTGAGGTTACAGATGCATGCTACTTTATCTGGCTTTTTACATGGGTTCCAGGTATCAAACTGAGGTCCTCAGGCTTTCTCGGCTAGAACCTTTACCTGAGCCGTTTCCCCAGTGCCACCCCCTCCCCCGAATTAGTTTGTTTGAGACATGGTCTCAGCATGCAAGGCTAGACTTGAACTCACCATGTGCCTCAGGATGACCTTGAACTTCTGATCATCCTGCTTCTACCTCTCAATAACAGGGGTGTGCCACTACTCCTGGTTTGATTGAGTACTAGGGAAATCCCAGGGCTTCATGTAGGCTAGGCAAGCCTTATACCAACTGAGCCACATCCACAACCCTAAAGACAAACTTTCAAAGGATTAGTCATTCTACTTCGCACACAGAAAACCATGTAAGAAAGGTGAGTCTTGGGCTGGAGAGATGCTACAGTAAAAAACTGAGTTCAATTGTCAGCATCCACATGGCGGCTCACAGCCATCTGTAACTGGAGTCCTGTGGGATCAGGTACCCTCTTCTGATACACCTTACCAAAAAAGAACGAAGGAAAGGTGAGTCTTGGAAAGAGTGGACTGTAAGCTACATTGGTAATTGCCAAATTGCTTGTTTGATGCCTATAGTGATGGCTGTGTTCTACTTCACTAATGGACTAACAGATGTTGGGAGATGGTGGCAATTGTATTTAGAGAGCAGCCAAGAGTAAGACTGTCAGGTGGTCTGAGCTGATGGGGGCCACTCTCTGTTTCAGAACCTTGGGCTATACCATCTCTAGAGAAACACAGAACCTGCAGGTGCCTTACTTCGTGGATAAAAACTTTGACAAGGCCTACAGAGGAGCTGCTCTTCGTGACCTGGAGAAAACAATAGAGAAAGATTATATTGATTACATCCAGACAAGCTGTTGGAAGGAGAAACAGCAAAGTAAGTAAGGCCAAGCAGGCTGTCACGAGGTCTCCCCAGCCTCCTGACCCTCTCCTCTGCTGGTGAACAGAGACAGAGGACAGACACACACACACACACACACACACACACACACACACACACCCCTCAGCTACTACTGCAAAGAAGGGACGTTGTTCGACATGCGACCAGGATTGGAAAACTTGGAAACTCGGCACACTGTCTTCTCCTCTTGTACTGTCTTCTCTCTGCCACCTGCCCCCAAGGGACGGGCTTACTACACAGCCCTTGATGACATACTGCCCACTGCATGGGTCACGTTGCTCTCACAGATCTGCCTGGCTCTGCCTCTAGGCTGCTCGTTCGTATGTAGCCCTGGATTTTGATATTCCTGAGGACTTGATTATAGGTATGCCCTGGCTCTGCCCTCTTACTACCTGCCTTTTTTTATTCTTTTAAAGAATTACTTTATTTATTTGTGCAAGAATGTGTACAAATGCCCCAAAGTATGTGTGGCAGTCAGAGGACACTGTGTGGGACTTTGTGCATTTTGACCATTGCTCTTCCTGTCGATGTCCTGAGGTCCCTAACCTCACCAGTCACTGCCCCCATTTTGCATCCCAAACTTCTTCATGAAGTTCTCGGTGCTATCTGCTTTCCTTCACAGTCCCTAAATCCCACATTCCCTAGAGAGAAATCTGATTGAGCCAGCCCCCCTTATTGAGTCAAGTCAGAAGTTTAGATGTTGTAGGCATGAGCCAAACAGTGGTGGTGCACGCCTTTCATTCCAGCACTGCAGAGGCAGAGGCAGGCGGATCTGTGAGTTCAAGGCCAGCCTGGTCTACAGAGTGAGTTCCAGTTCCAGGACAGCCAGGGCTACACAGAGAAACCCTGTCTCAAAAAACAAAAATAAAAACAGAAAAAGAAGAGATGGCTAGCATGGAGTCTGGTGTCCCTTACTTCCTGTTGCTTGTGGGTACAAAGAAGAGTGACCTCCTGGGTCTGGCTTTCCAGTAGATGTGTGTGACAGATCTTTCTTCTTTCTCCCTCACGGGAGACAGTGTCTCCCACTTGGCTTACAGTTCCAGGCGTTACTGGGGAGTACTGTCACCAGTGGTAGCCCTAGTCTCAGCCAATAGGTTCATTTTAAATCCCAAATGAATTTCACACACACACACACACACACACACACACACACACACACACACACACTTGCGAAGTAACTGCATCTTGGCTTTGCAAACTGGACTTTGGTTGATTTTTTTTTTTTCAAAGCAAACTGTAACTCATCTTCTAAGCTTTATTACTGGATGTCTATAAATGTGTACTTGTAAAATTAGCTCTTTGGTCACAGTGCTTCTAAGCTCTTGCTGACCCATCACGTACTCCTACCCCTCACTGAGTTAACCCACCCTTCCTGTGTGTTCTTAAAGCACTTTGCTCTTCCGGCCACCACAGTACTGATCAATAGCATTAGTGATCCATAGGTGCATTCCCTCTGCAGGACTGCTGGCCCTAGGACAGACTGTCTTACTAATTCTGTGTTCTGGGCTGCAGGCACAGTCCTGACTTCAGAACAGGTGCTCAACACATGTTGTTGGAAAAGGTTCTCATACTGGAAAGCTGTGTACTGACGAGGAATGTGAGTAAGGGATCAGTGCTGATGTCTTATCCTCCCTCAGGGACTTTGCCTCTGCCCTCTATTTCTACAGGGCAAAGCCTCGCTACCTTCTCAAATAAGGGGCAGTCAAACAGAAGGGAGTTGCTTTTACCCATCTCATTGTTAAATTAGTTTTGTTTGTTTGTGTTGGTTTTTCTGAGACAGGGTTTCACTATGTAGCTCTGACTGTCCTGGAACTCACTATGTAGACCAGGCTGTTTAAATTGGGTTTCATCTTTTAGAAATCAGGAAAAAGCTGGGTGCACTGGTGTAGGCCTGTGATCCCAGCACTCAGGAGGCAGAGACAGGAAGATTTTGAGTTTAAGGTCAAGGGTAGCCATAGCTTCATAGTAAGACTCTGTCTTGGGAAAAAAAAAATCAGGCTGGTGAGGTGGGTCAGTGGGTAAAGGGATTGACACCAAGCCTGACTTGAGTTCAGTCCAGGACCCAGGAGTAGAAAGAGAGAACTGACTCCCCAAAGTTGTCCTCTGACCACCACATACATGCTGTGATTCATGCATGAGGGTGCACACACTCAAAAATAAAGGGAATTAAAAAAAGAAAGAAAGAAAAAGAAATCAGGAAAGAGTTTGGTGTATAGTCCAGACTGGCCTCAAGCTCACAGAGATTCTCCTGCCTCCACTTCTGAGTGCTGGACTTAAAGATGTTCCCCATCAAGGCCTGCCCCAGGAAAAAATTTAGGAGCAAAAATCTATGTGAATCTAAATCAGGTGAAAGCCACAGTAATGTGTCCTAAGCATCCCCTTTGTATTGGGCACAGGAATGGTTTGAATTTATTGCTTTCTGTAAGAACTACATGAAAATCTGCATTTTTCATTCTTAAGACACACACACACACACACACACACACACACACACACACACACACACACGCTCTCCGTGTACATGCACATGTATCATATTCTACTCTGTGGCATTGAGATGCTGACATTGCAGAAAGGTGAAGGATTTTACCGAAAGTTGTAGAGGTATTTGCTCTGCCCATGACCTTGGGCTACACGGAAGAGTGGTGTCTGAGCTTCTCATCCACATGAGACTTGTTCAGATCTGTGGCCCTCTCCAGGTACAAGTGAAAATTCTATGAGAGCCAGACCTGGTAGAACAGGCCTGTAATCTCATCCTATAATCTCTTGGGAGACTAAGGCAGGAGGATCACAAATTCAGGGACTGCCATGGCTACAGAGTGAGTTCAGGGCTAGCCTGAGCAACTTAATAAGCCCTATCTCAAAATGCTTTGTTTTGTTTTGTTAAGAACTCAGGTTATGGCTTAGTGGTAAAGTTTATGTCTAGCAACGTACATAAAGTCCTAGGATCCACCCTCAGTTAAAACACACACACACACACACACAAATAAACAAATCCATTGAATGAGCCTGACGGGTACAATTCACCAGTTCTGAATGGAGGTTGTCAGCACATACCCTGAAACAAATCTACTCCTAGCATTTAAACACAGTAATTCTGTGGAGCCTCCACACCACCCCAGTGCCATTTGAGAGGCAGCATCTGCCCTCTGAATCCAGCAGCAAGTGCAGCCAGGAAGGTTAAATTTAGCACTTTGAGGTTGTAAAAATAAACTCACTGAGAACAAAGTTCATTCTTGGCAAAACACCAAATGGAAATTTTACCAAGGGTGGCCATTGTCTTTGAAAGTCTTTATTATTCCTTTTATTTGCTCTTCCCTGGAATGCCTAGTATGGGTGACTTTTTTTTTATTATTATGAATATTCCTTTACTGTGGGTGATAATTGTCCTGTGAACTCTTTCATAGATATAACTGCATATTATACATACTGCCGGGAAAGTGCCTCCTAGTCTGGTCCATCAGAGCTGTGTGAGCACTTCTTTCCACGCCCTTGAGCAGGATAGCAGAGTGGGTAGAATCCTAGGCTTTGAAGTGGTAGAAAGAATTCATTTCCTTCTGAGAGGGGGTGTGTGTGTGGGGGGGAGGGGGGCTTAGCGCAGTGCCTGGAACACAGTGAACACCTTATTCCTGGTGATCCATGCTTGAACAGCCTCACACAATAAACTGAAGGGCAGTGTTCCTTGGGACTGGGTTGTGGGTAGTTACAGTTGAAAAGGATATTTTGTTTGTTTTCTTCTCCTGTTTTCTCCCTTTTTGTTTTCTCTGTTTTTTGTTTCTTAGTTTTGTTTTCTCCTTTGTTAGGGAGAAAAGGTATTTTATTGACCCTGCTCCTCCCAAAGACTTTTTTTCTTTCATTTTACTTGTAAGTTATTGAGTACTGGGGCTGGAGAGATGGCTCAGTGGTTAAGAGCACTCACTGTTCTTCAGAGGCTTCCATTCCCAGCACGAATGTAGGGTGACTCCCAACCGTAGTGTAACAAGTTCCAAAGGATCCAGGACCTTTCTCCTCCACAGACTCATGCCTGCCTGTGCATGGTGCATGTATATACACTGTATGAGGCACTCATGCATACACATAATCTTTTTAAAGATTCATTCATTTTATTTTATATGTGAGTGTTTTGTATGCATGTATGTCTGTGTACCACATGTGTGCTTGGTGCCTGCAGAGGTCAGAAAAGGGCATTGGATCCCTTATAACTAGTTATGGATGGTTATGAACCATCATGTGAGTGCTGGTAATTGAACCCAGGTCCTCTGTAAGAGCAACAAGTGTGGGCTGGAAAGATGATCCAGAGGTTAAGAGCACTGGCTGCTCTTCCAGAAGTCCTGAGTTCAATTCCCAGCAACCACATGGTGGCTTACAACCATGTATAGTGAGAATTGGTGCTCCCTTCTGGTGGGCAGGGGCACATGCAGACATAACACTGTATTTATTAATAAAGACATCTTTAAAAAAAAAAAAAAAAAGAGCAACAAATGCTCTTAACCTTTTGTGGGGCGTTTACCCAACCACCCCCACAGTTCCCCAGAGTTTTCTTGAGTGCGAGCAGCAGGAAATATTAGATAGAAGGATTTATTGCGGAGAATATCGCGGAGATAAACAGATAGAAGATAAAGGATAGCCTCGAGAGGGCCTGGAACCTATTCCAACAGGCCCCGACTGTCTCTGCCCCAGGGTTTTTATAGAGACGCCAAGGGGTGGAGCAAAAGACCTCCTCCCCCAGCACAGCCAAGTGCAGACCATCCCAGACACCTGCACTTAGGCCCGTGGTCTAATCATCCTCTATGCGGACCTGCTGGGTAAAGCCACGAGGAACCCGAGAACGGTCTCCCACAACCTTTGAGCCATCTCTCCATCCCCTAAAATATTTTTAAGTTATTGAGTATTAACAGAATTTGTTAAAATATTATATTCTTTGAGTAAACCCTTGGCTTGTGCCTCTTCATTGCTCTGAAGCAATGTTGTCTGACTGGGTTTCAGTGAGCTTTGTGCAGGCAAGCAATCCATGTCTCCTGTGACAGGCATCTTCCTTCAGCTTGTTATAGTGGCTGTCAAGACAGAAAACACTAAGTATCATTAGTCTCTGATGCCTTCAGGATGAGGACTTCAGAGAATGACACATGAAAGTCAGTAACAAAATAGCATAAGAAGCTTGCTCCAGTGAAGAGCAGAGCCACAGAATCTGTTCTGGACACTGGGGTAGCTGTGACTCTAGAGAAACAAGGTGCAGACGGGTTTCACAGAAGTCTCCTACATAGCCTCCCCCCGCCAAAGAAGCCCTAGCCTAGGAAGGGGTGCTGAGCACCTAGTGGGGAGCAGGAGCAAAGACTTAACATTTGGGTGCAGCACACAACCCTCTGCAGAGCCTCATCACCTGCAAGGAGATGGTGCCAAGGCAGGCCCTGGCATGCAGGCACTGTGGGCACCCGCACCAAGGGTAAGAGCACATTGTCCTGCAGCCTGGGAGACCCACTGCCTGCCAAGCCACTGCTGGCTGGAGTCCAGGCCTGCAGTCCCATTGTTCAGGGAGGGTTGTCATGCTTAGCCACCCCTCACCCTGGAGTCCTGCACTTCATCTGCACTTTGGGCCTTCCTTGATGTAAATAGAATCATTGTGAGCAGAAATGCCAGGCAGTGTTTGGTGTTGATAGACATTTATTCAGAGGTCCGTGCCCATTGTTCCTTCTGGCTGAAGGCTAAGGCTAATTCCTGTGTCCTGGTAGTTTGCCGATTCATCAGACAGGTGCGTCTTGTTCCACCAAGAAAAACAAAACCTGTCAGCAAGATGATTAAGAATGGAAGGCATATTTCAAAATGATTAAAATAGAATTTGCACAAGCATGGTCCTTTAACAGCTGCCTGCTGTTGGCAGCTCTCAGAAGCCACCCAAGCATGCCATCCTGTTAATATGTGGCACACATGACATGTCCCCAAAGGTGCATGTCAGGAGTTCCCCCGAGAAGGAGGAACTTAGAAGAGAGTAAAAACTCAGACCAACCACCCTGGAGTTGGGAAACACAGCAGAGATTATATTCCAGTTAAAAATAGCATGGCCTGCTCTATCATGAGGAGAAAATGAAATTTACTTAGTCAAGGACACAGAGGCCACTGGGCCGAGATGATTTCAGTTTAAAAGAGCCGTTTGAGTTGGGGACCTTCTGCGTGGTGAGGGGGTGAAGAAAGCCGCAGCCTGATCCTCTGTAGATGCTCACCTACCAGAGGACCCCATGTCGTGTGTGGCTCAGAGCCTGCAATGCTGGGGAGAGTCAAGCAGCTGTCTCTGTTCAGATGACAGGAACAGGCGATGGGGCTCCAGTCCCCATCATGGTGCAAGGCCATGGCACCCTCCTCTTCCTGCACATGTGCAGGCCTCCCAAGCCTGGGGCTGGGTGTTCTGCTGACAAGAACTAAGCCTGGTGCTCTCAGAACAGCACAGGCTGCAGTCGGGTCACAGGCGGCCTTCACCCTCAGGACCTGGTGCAGTGCCCAGCAGGTTCCTCTAGGGCGGAGGGTAGCAGTGCCCGGATGGAGTAGAACAAAGTGGCGTGAAAGTAAGGTCTTTTGAGTCTAGAACTACTGAAACGAAAGCGCTCAGCCTTAACGAGCCGTCATCCCTGTTGTCTCTTTCAGAGTCGGAGCTGACCAATTTGGCGGGGCTCTATAGAGATGAGCGACTGCGGCAGAAAGCAGAGTCAATGAAACTTGAAAACTGTGACAAACTTTCCAAGCTAATTGGCCTCCGGAGGGGTGGCTGAGAGGACGATGGCCCGGCTCAGGATGGGGTTTCTTACTTGTTACTATTTACATTGCAAATTCCATTTTATAATACAAGTTAGGAAATGATGAACACTTACCATCTGCTAACTTTGTTGGGCAGAGCTGCAGGACATGGAGCCACATTGTCACCAATTCCATCCAGTTCTTCCAGGCCTGGCTCCCAGGGCAGGGACAGTTCATCTAAGTTACATGAATGGTGAAGTTTGGACTCGCTCCTCTGTGAACGTAGATCAGGGCATCCCAGAGAAGACCCACATTTCTTCCTTCATCCTGCCTGCAGCAAAAGCCCACCCGCTGCGCGTTTCTGGGCTCAGCCAAGGCACTTCAGAGTATTGGTGGCGTCTGCCGAGAATGACCCCTCTTCCTGCTAGAGTCACCGTCCCCAGTGTTCAGTTTTCCACTCCCTCAGGAGAGTAGAGAAAGTGAACTGTTCAGCCAATAGTTTGGTGTTGTCCAAGTCTCTGCTGAGGCAGGAGCATTAGCAAACTGCCTGACTTGTGGTTTCTTTTCTTTCTGAGAGAGGTAGCCCAGGCTAGCCTGGAACTCACTATAGAGTCCAAGCTGGCCTTGAATTTGCAATGATCCTCCTGCCTAAGTGCTGGGATTACAGGCCTGAGCTGCCATACCCAGGGAGGTTCCTTTTAATTCTTTAGTCATCTCTTTCAGAGGATCTAGAAAGTAAAATGTGTTGAGCAGGCTGGGCATGGTAGCACACCTTTAATCCTAGCACTCACACAAGCAGAGGCAGGCCAATCTATGAGCGCAAGGCCAGCCTGGGCTACATAGAAAGTTCCAAAGTTACATAATGAGATCTTGTCTCAAAAAAAAATACAGAAACAAAAGCCCTGTTGAGCTGTGACACAGCTGAGTGGGGGACAGTCGGACGGCAGGAAGCAGGGCTAAGGAAGAAGATGGAGTAGTCTTAAGACTGTAGCTCCTCCTTGGCTCAGGCTCCCTGTCCTTTGGAACTAGCGAGCATTCTCTGTCCTTTCCCTTTAAATCGGCACGCAGTATGGTGGGCTGTACATGGAGCACAAGTATGCACAGAAGTGCAGTCGGCAAACCCGAGATGAGGCTCAGGCATGGAGACACAAAGGGAGGGGCCTGTCCCTGCTCATGGAGGCTGATGTTAGCCTTGGCAGTCACTTTGATTGACTCAGTGTCCTGTGCATTTTAGTACAAGTGATCTTTGATTCATTCAGTGTTTATGGAGTGCCTACTCCAAAGCAATGGCTTTCACATGTGGTGTGTTTTGCTTTTGTTTTAAGTTTCCTCACAATTTGTGAAGCTGGTGCATTACCTCTTTTATGAGTCAGAACATGATAAATGGTTGGCCTGGGTCATGTGACTAGGTGAGGAAGTACAAAATGTGAGCAATCATCCTATTTCTCAGGTGATTCTAGCCAGGTTGGCAAAGCAGAGATTTTTCCCTGGGATGCCTCTGTCCTCAGGACACCTCTGTCCCCGCCCCTCAACCCCCTGGACCAGCTTGCATCCTTTCCATGGTAGGTCTGTGTCCCTTCAGGACTGCTTACCCACTGGTCTTTTAGAAGCAGGACCAGGGCTGGAGAGATGGCTCAGTGGTTAAGAAGAGTACTGGCTGCTCTTCCAGAGGACTCAGGTTCAATTCTCAACACCCACATGGCAGATCCCAACATCCTGTAACTCCAATTCCAGAGGATCCAGCTCCCCCTTCTGGCCTTCACAGGCACTGAATGCACATAGTCCACAGACATACTTGTAGGCAAACTACCCATATACATTTTTTAAAAAGCAGGACCCTTTGATACAAAACCTTCAGAGGCAGAAAAAGTAGCTCTTTCTAGAACAAAGGCATTGATTGCTCTGGCTGTGTGATTGTGCGAGATCTGAGTAACTGAGCTGCCCAGATTATCATGAGACTGAATGAGAGGACCAGTAGGCAATTGGTTTATATTCCGTGTCTTTTTTATTTTTGGATAGGGTCTCATGTATCCCAGACTGGCCTCAAAGTTGATATACAGCCAAAAACTTTGAACTTTTTTTCTTTTTTTTTCTAGACAGAGTTTCTCTGTGTAGCCCTGGCTGTCCTGGAACTCACTCTGTAGACCAGGCTGGCCTCTAACTCAGAGATCCTCATGCCTCCACCTCCCAAGTGCTGGGATTAAAGGTGTGTGCCACCACACCCGACCCCTTTGATGATGATGTTTTGTTTATTTCAAGACAGGGTTTCTTTGTGTAGCTTTGGCTATCCTGGAACTTGCTCTGCAGACCAGGCTGGCCCTGAACTCAGAGCCTCTTCCTCCCGTGTGCTGGGATTAAAGATGTGCACCACCACTACTGCCTGAAATCCTCCTGCCTCTACCTCCTGAATGCTAGAGTCACTCCTGGCTTTTGTGGTACTGGGGAAAGAACCCAAGGCTTTGTGTATGCTAGCCTACTAAGCTACATCCCCAGACTTACCTTCTGAATGCTTTGGTGTTGTTTTTTTTTTTTTTTTTTGAGACAGGGTTTCTCTGTGTAGCTTTGCACCTTTCCTGGAACTCACTCTGTAGACCAGGCTGGCCTTGAACTCACAGAGGTCCGCCTGCCTCTGCCTCTCCAGTGCTGGGATTAAAGGTGTGTACCACCAATTGCCTGGCATCTTCTGAATTTTTTGAGAACCTCTTTAACCTATGAGCAACAGGGAATTTACTTTGTTAATGTGGTAGGCATGGTGAAACACACCTTTAAACCCAGCACTCAGGAAGCAGAGGCAGACGGAATACTGTGAGTTCAAGGCCAGCCTGCTCTACATGGCAAGTTCATAGTGAAACCCTGTCTCAAAACAAACAACAGAAATACCCATATGTTGTAAAATGTACCCATGAACCGAACAAGCTTATGGAAAGTTCCTAGACATGGAAAAATGCAAAGTGCTCCTCTCCTAGCCTCTGCCTCAGCTAGAAAGTGGACCATCATGAAACTGGTGTGGCGGGGTACCACCCCCCCAGATGCCCTTGAATAGTGTGTGGATATCATGGCAGTGGTGAATCAGAGTCAATCTAACTCAGCTCCATCAACTGTCACACCAACTGTCTGTCCTTATAGCCTGGTGGTACTGTTTTGTTTATTTCTGATAGGCTACAGTACTCATATCTTATTTCCTCAAAAGAACTATATTTGCTTTGATTGAGGGGTAGTTTAATCTATTTGGCACTCTCTAGAATTGTGTTAAACTCTTAATTCCTTGCTTATAATTTAGATACGTTGTTCACGTGTTGGTAAAGTAAGCTCTGTACTCTTGCCTATGTCTTTTATGAGATTTCCTGGCAGTGTAAACCCTTTAGATATGGCTTTTCTTGCTGTCACTGTGGCTCACAGTTTGAGACTACAGAATAGAGACTGATGGGCGTGAGGTTAAGAAACAGGGCTCACACAGGACCAGAAACTGACATTCACATGAGGTGCTCTCTTTAGTGGAGAAAATCCTGCTCCCTGGAAGGAGCAGTAGAGCTTGAAGGGGCCCATGTCCTCGTTCATCTGCTCAAGCCAGGAACCATGTAAGCTTCACTGATCAGCTCCGGGCCGCACAGCTTGGGAGAAGTGACTGGTAAGCAAATAGTATCACTATGCATGCTTCTGGGAACTGTTGGAAATGACGAGAAACGCCAAAGCCTGCTGGAAACAGGATCCAGCAGGCCGGCCAAGCTGTAGGCCGGCCGAGCTGCAGGCTGTTTTCATTCCCCTCTTCACTCTCCTCAGAACTAGTGCTGCCATGAGCCCCTTGAGACCCCCCATCGTCTCTGCATGCACTGCCCCTCCCAGGAGCTGGCATTTACTTTGTATTCATTTAAGGTATTAGATTGGTGTCCTAATAAATTTATTTGGGAAGGGGCCAAGTTACTCTACATCGTAATATTTGGGCCTGCACTGTTGATACCTCATGCAGTGGTCACCAAGTAACTGTGTACACTGAGTCCACGTTTGCATCACACTCAGTGTTTGGAGGTGGTAGTGTTCTGTGACCAGAGTCAGGAATGATGACACTTGTGAAAATGCTGAAAAATTTGGTCACCTGATCCACTGCATCTAAAATGAGTGTATTTTAACAAGTAAACATTAAACAATTTTATATCCAAAATGCAACCTATGACTTTTCTCTGTTTGTCCTTTGACCACAGTCCTCGTGCTTGGAGCCACTTTGGACTAAAGATGTTACTATGGGATAGTTTGTGTTTAGAATAATACATAGTACTAATGGGATGGATTCCAGATTTTTTTTTTTTTGATGGGGAGTGGTTTTTGAGACAAGGTTTCACTGTGTAGCTCTGACTATCTTAGAACTTGCTCTGTAGACCAGGCTATCCTCAAACTCAGAGATCACCTGCCTCTGCCTCCCAATTGCTGGGATTACAGGTGTGTGCCACCACCGCTTGGCTAAGGATTTTTTGTTTGTTTTAGATTTATCACGTTTTTATGTGTATAGGTGTTTTCCCTGCATGTATGTATGTGCACCATGTGTATGCAGTGCCCTTGGAGGCCAGAAGAAGGTGCCAGTTGTGAGCCATCATGTGGGTGATGGAACAGAACCTAACCTGGGTCCTCTGCAGGAGCAGCAAGTGGATGTTTTGTTTTGGAGGGAGGAGTTTGGCAACAATTTATATATAAAGTTTCAGCAAGAACAATGTAAAATGACAACACTCTTATATTAAGAGTGAAAATGGTGCCTGCCTTTAATCCCAACACTCAGGAGGCAGAAGAAGCAGCCAGTCTTTGTGAGTTTAAAGTCTACAGAGTGAGTTCTAAAACAGCCAGGGCTACACAGAGAAATCTTGTCTTGGAAAAGGAAAAAAGAACCTGTTGATAAAAATCCATTCCTGGGGGCTGGAGAGATAGCTCAGAGATTAAGGGCACTGACTGTTCTTCCAGAGGTCCTGAGTTTGATTCCCAGCAACCACATGGTGGCTCACAACCATCTGTAATGAGATCTGGTGCCCTCTTTTGGTGTGCAGTCATACATGATATATACATAATAAATAAATAAATCTTAAAAAAAAAATCTGTTCCTATCCTGAAATAAATGTATACAACATCGTGATACCCTGAAGCCAAATGCCTAGGAGCGACCTAATCTATTTCTTTTCACTGAAGATAGCAGCGGCAGAGGCTGGGAAAAGCACAGAGGAGAGGAATGAACCCACAGAGAGTGTCTATAGGTGAAGGGTGCAACTTTACCTGAACCAGAGTCACTTCTGCTAAGGATTCCTTCTGTGCTTCAGATAGCAATGGCAGCTACCACAGCCAATCCAAATCAAGACTAGGTTTAGCATCAGAAACATCTGTGTTACGGAGCTCTTTTCTGGCTTTGTTCCCAGTGGCCCATATTTAGCAAAGTCTTGGTTTAAAAATACCATTCATGGTATTTAATATTTCATGGTCCGACAGGGTACATCTCCTACTTGGACCAACATACACATGAAACTCAATTCAGCTAGTCTGAGAACTTCCTGTGTTCTAGGTGGGCTGGGTCAGAGAACAAATGGTACCTACCCCAGAACTCTAGAGCAAATGCCTAGCACAGTAGTTCTCAACCTGTGGGTTGAGCCCCCTTGGGGAGTCACATTTCAGATGTTTACATAGGATTCATAACAATAGCAAAATTACAGTTATGAAGTAGCACGAAACAATTTCACGGTTGGGGGTCCCCACAACACAAGGACTGCATTAAAGGGTCACGGTGTTAGGAAGGTAGAGAACCACTGTCTTACTGGTTTTCATTTTGAAGTTATTTTTAGAAAAGGGGGTCTCAGGAAGCCCAGGCTGGCCTTGAACTCCTCATCTTCTTGCCTGGACATCCCTTGTGCCAGGATTACGGGTGTGTGCTACTCCGCCTTGAAAGTCTGGGTTTTCACTCCAAAGCATCCAAACTTCTGACTCCATTCGACTCACACTCCCAAACCACCGTCCACTCCTACAGTTGCAGCTTCACCCTCTTGCCTAGTATTCAGTAGCTTGTTTCCATCCCCAGCATTAAAATCATCCAAGTTCTAGTCATAGATAACATTTTGTTTTGAAGAGTTTGTTTTTTGTTTTTTGTTTTTTTGTTTTTGACAGGGTTTCTCTGTGTAGCCCTGGCTGTCCTGGATCTCCCTCTGTAGACCAGGCTGGCCTCAAACTCAGAGACCCGCCTGCCTCCGCCTCCTGAGTGCTGAGATTAAAGGCATGCGCCACCACTGCCTGGCTTGAGTGGGGTTGGCCACAGAAGTAGAGGTAGCTGATCCCCTGAAGCTAGAATTGCAGGCAGCTGCTTTGTAAACTGTCTAACGTGAGTTCTGGGAACCAGATGAGCAATTCTTGGTGTCGTCTCTCTAGTGCCACTACCCAGCTGTGTGTGTGTGTGTGTGTGTGTGTGTGTGTGTGTGTGTGTGTGTGTGTGTGTGAGAGAGAGAGAGAGAGAGAGAGAGAGAGAGAGAGAGAGAGAGAGACAGACCGACAGTCTGGGAATTTAATCTAGGTCCTTGTGTGTGCTAAGTAAGTGCCCTGCCACTGAGCTGTGTCCTTCCCTTTTTTTTTTTTTTTTGATATTTGATACAGGGTTTCTCTGTCCTGGAACTCACTCTGTAGCCCAGGCTGGCCTCTAACTCACAAAGATCCGTCTGCCTCTGCCTCCCTAGTGCTAGGATTAAAAACATGCACCACCACTGCCTTTAAAAAATTATTTTTTAGGACTGGAGAGATGGCTCAGAGGTTAAGAACACTGACTGCTCTTCCAAAGGTCCTAAATTCAATTCCCAGCACCCATATGGTGGCTCACAACCATCTGTAATGAGATCTGGCTCCCTCTTCTGGCCTGCAGGGATACATGCAAAACAGAACACTATATGCATAATAAATAAATAAATCTTGAAAAAATTATTTTTTAAAGTTTGAGACAGTCTTGCTAAGTCACCTAACTTGGCCTGAACTCATGGTCTTCCTGCCTCAGCCTCCTGGTGGCTGAGATTATCGGCCTAGAGCAGCAGAACCAGCTCTGTCCGTCCTTTCTGACTAATCTTGTAGTTACTCTGCCGCTGCTACGCTCGCCCCAGGAACTTTACTTCTTTCCAAGGACTGCTTCCCCTTTTGCCAAGAGCTTCCCTGTTACCACAGGCTTCAGCTAGAACATGTCCACACACACGCTGACCAGCTTTGGTGAAGTACCCCTTGAACTCCTTATTTGTCTCTTTCTTTGCACTGTCATAGCTAGACGACTACTAATTATAGTTGATTACTGACACACTCGTCCAGTAGACTAAGTTCTAGTCTGGTTTTGACTGAGATGAGCCTTGAGGTAACATGCCACCTTCCGAAAAGAGCTGCTCTAGGAGAGTCTGATGAGTGGGTGACTCCCAGGAGAGTGTGAATGATGATTGCTGCAAGTTCAAGGCAAGGCTGAGCCACAGTGCAAAGGCAGCAGGAGGGACATATGGAGACGGTCCTAGTTTGCATTTCTGTTGCTGTGAAGAGACACTATGACCACAGCAACTCTTAGAAAGGAAACATTTAATTGGGGCTGGCTTACAGGTTCAGAGGTTCAGTCCATTATCGTGGTGGGAAACATGGTATCATGCAGGCAGACATGGTGCCGGAGAAGGAGCTGAGAGTCCTATATCTTCATCTGCAGGCAGCAGGAGACTGTGTCACACTGGGCACAGCTTGAACATGTAAGACTTCAAAGCCCCGCCCCCATAACACACACACACACAGTGACACACATCCTCCAACAAGGCCACACCTACTCCAAAAAGGTCACACTTCCTAATAGTGCCACTCCCTAAGGGCCAAGCATTCACACACATGAGTCTATGGGGCCAGTTCCTATTCAAACCACCACAGAGACATGTCTAAAACACCACTGTCTACAAAACAAAAGACAACTACAACATAGGTGTGGTGGAACAGGCCTGTAATCCACTTGGGAAGTGGAGACTGGGTCAGGAGTTCAAGGGCAGCCTGGGCTATACAAGACCCTTTCTCAATGAACAGAAGAACCTAAATCCTTTGACACTGTTCCTGTTGAAAAGGGGAGAAGAGCTGGGGAGAGCAGGGAAGGGGTGGAGCTCACTGTCAGAGAAAGTGCTCGCCATGAGTTTGGTCCCCAGCAGTCAAAGAAACCTGGGGGTGGAGTCTGTGTCTCCATCCCCGTAGCCAAAAGAATACAGCAGAAGGCTGGGGTGTACTTTTCTGTAAAAGTTAGACATATTTTTAAATTATTTTTATGTATATGAGAGCTTTGCCTGAATAGATATCTGTGTACCATCTATGTGCTTGGAGCCTGCCAGAGGCTGGAAGAGGGCATCAGATCCCTGAGACTTAAGCTGCATGTGAGTCCTGGGACTCGAACCCTGGTCGAACCAGGGACTGGTTGTCAGAGCCTCCTGCCCTTCAGGTGTTGTCCCAAATACATTCGAGGAAGCCTGTTGAGACTGATGGGGGTGAACATTGAGTGGCGAGGACATGGAGCAACATCTCAGGGGAGATCTGAGAGGGGGGACACACACAATTCATGGAGGCATCCTAGGGATCACTGCCGTGGGGGACGCTGGAGCTTTGTCTGGGGTAACTCAGATGAACAGCCTCATCTACTAGACAAAGTTCTGTGCAAGCTCTGTGTGGAGGCCTCAAACTTCAGGGCACCTTCCACACATACACCTTCCACACATGTTACACAACATATCCATATTACCACTGGCTACATGTAGCTATTGGAATTGTGGGCTGAGGATGTAGCTCAGGAGTACAGCACTTTCCTAAAATGGAAATTCTAACTAAAGTTGTTTTTTTAAACAAGCAAACAAACAAACAAACAAAAAAACCTTTAAAACTGTAAAACTCCTTAGGCAGGGGGCTGGAGAGATGGCTCAATGGTTATGAGCATGCATTGCTCTTCAGAGGACCAGAGTTCAATTCTCAGCACCCACATCAGGTGGCTCACAACCACCTATAACTCCAGTTCTAGGGGATCCAACTCCTCTGGCCTCCATAGGCACCTGCACACATATGCACACACACACACAACAGACACACACACACACACAAATTAACAATTTTTTCAAAAATTAAAAACTTAGCTGGACAGCTGTGGTGCACCCCTTTAATCCCAGCAC